CTCTCCTCCTCTTCTTCCATCCTTTCTTTCCTCCTCTTTCTCTATTTCTTTATTTTTCTCTTTTTCCCTCCCACTCTCTTTCTTTATTTCTTCCTTTATAGTTATTTGTGGTAGCTGTATTTATTATAACTGTAAACTGGAAACAACCCGGATGCCAACCACCAAAAGGATGGACAGACACATTGTGGTCTCTCCATATGATAGAATCCTGTTCAGAAATAAAAAGAAACGGACTACTCTTACAAACACCATAGATGAATTTCAAAAACATTACATTGAGACAAAGACGTCAGAAACTATAGAGTAAAAATTGTTGGGTTCCAAACAATGAAGTCGTGGAAGAGAAAATCCCCTAATCTATGGTGATAGAAATCCAAAGAGTCATTAGTCTCTGGGCAGCTGGGATTGCCCATCAGGGGACATGAGAAACTATGGTGAGATGGAAATCTCTGTTTCTGAGGGCTGATTGTCAGGGTGTGTATGTTGTGAAAATTCTCAAACTGTAAATCTAAGTTTTTTTTTTTTGAGATAGGGTCTCACTCCGCCACCCAGGCTGGAGTGCAGTGGTGTGATCTCAGCTCCCTGCAACCTCGACCTCTCTGGGCTCAGGTGATCCTCCCACCTCAGCCATCCCACTAGCTGGGACTGCAGGCACTCACCACCACACCTGGCTAATTTTTTTTTTTTTTTGAGACAGTGTCTCACTCTGTTGCCCAGGCTGGAGTGCAGTGGCACGACTTTGGCTCACTGCAACCTCCGCCTCCCAGGTTCAAGTGATCCTTCTGCCTCAGCCCCGCTAGTAGCTGGGATTACAGGTACGTGCCACCATGCCCGGCTCATTTTTTTATTTTTAGTAGAGGTGGGGTTTCGCCATGTTGGCCAGGCTGGTCTCAAACTTCTGACCTCAGATGATCCACCTGCCTCAGCCTTTCAACGTGCTGGGATTACAGGTGTGAGCCACCGCGCCCGGCCACACCCAGCCTAATTTTTTAAAAATTTTTTTGTAGAGATGGGTTTTCACCATGTTATCCAGGTGGGTCTTGAACTCCTGAGCTCAAGCAATCCTCCCGCCTCGGCCTCCCAAAGCTCTGTGATTACAGGCGTGAGCCAAATCTAAATTCTGTGCAAATCACTGCATGCAAATTATGTGCTCAAAGAAGAGGGAAATAATCTGGAAAAATACTACTGCTCAGTGAAAACTTCAGTTTTTCCATGACTTATCTTGACAAGCAAATTTTACAAAATAGTTTTTCCTTGGATGTTTCCCAGACATTGCTTCTGAGAATGACCCAGGTTCATGGTACAGGTTCCAGGTTTAAGGTGCAGATGAGGAACCTGAAGAATCTTGTTCCTTCAACCAGAGCACTGCTGGTGCCAGTTATTGCTACGTGATATTTAAAGGGAGGAGGCGAGCTGGTCATGGTGACTGTAATCCCAGCACTTTGGGAGGCTGAGGCAGGTGGATCACATGAGGTGAGGAGTTTGAGACCAGCCTGGCCAACATGGTGAAACCCTGGCTCTACTAAAACAAAACCAAACAAAAAAACTAGGCGTAGTGGTGTGCGCCTGTAATCCCAGCTACTCAGGAGGCTGAAGCAGGAGAATTGCTTGAATCTGGGAGGCGGTGGTTGCAGCGAGGAGAGATGGCACCATTGGACTCCAGTCTGGGTGACAGAGTAAGACTCGGTCTCAATAAATAAATAAATTAAATAGGGAGGAGGAGAAACTGTTCCTGCTTCTAATAGATGTGCTGGAACCTTCTACCAGCACGCGAGCCTCCCTGCTACAGGCCCCTCCAGTCATCTCCCAGCTGCTGCCTGGTCTGTGCCCATCTGGAAGCCTGCAGCCAATTCTGAGTTGACGTGGGTCTTCTCTGGCCAGGAGATGTGTGGTTTATGTGGAATCAGCATTTTGCTCTGTCTCACAATCACTCCCTTACGTTATGCCTCACAGATACACTTTGGGGTATTGGCTTGTCCCCTGATAAATTCCAAGGGGTGGCATTTCCTGAGCCAAAAGTCCGGATGGTTTTCCTCTAGGGCATGCTGGGTGGCCACGCAGAGAGGGTGACTGGGGGCCTCAGCCCTGCATTCTCAGTGCAGAGGGCTTCCCACGCAGGGGCCACTAGAGACCTAGAAGCTCGCTCGCCATGGGAACTGGGGGACTTAGGCTTTCTCTCCATAGGATGGTCAATGGGTGTCAACTTGACTGGGCCATGGGACACCCAGATCGCTGTGTAAACACGATTTCTGGGCATGTCTGTGAGAGTGTCTCCAGAAGAGATTAGCCTTTGAATCGGGTGGACTGAGTCAAGCAGATGCCCGTCCTCCCAGTGTGGGGGGCCTCATCCAACCCACTGAGGGCCCAAATAGAACACTGGGCCTTCAACATGAATTTGGAGAGGGGAGGGCACAAACATTCAGTCTACAGCAGAAAGGGAGAGGGGAGAGAGTAGAGTTTAATTTTTAAACCCTCCCTGGTAGTGAGAACAATTAATTACAGCAAAGAAGAGAAAGACAAGACTTACATTTCCAAATCTAAACAGGCTGCCGGGGGTTAGGCAGGGGAAGCACTGGACGCGGGGCCCATGCTGGAAAAACACAGTGATTGTGGCCACCCCATCAGGGGTCCTCTGACTCTCGAAACCAGGCCCTTTCTGTGGGGACCAGTTGCTGCTGGGGGCAGGAGAGGCAGAGGTGCCTGGTCCCTGGCCCCTGTTGCACCTTCTGCCTCTTGTGTTTCCTTCTTATTCTTTCTGGGAACAGAGTTTCCAGTGATAAAATATAACTTAAAGGCAAAGGTACTCTGGTAGGAGAGGGACCAGGGCTTGGTTCAGACCTGCATTCTGCAAACAAATTTCTTAATAAAAATAACAGGCCAGGTAAGGTGGCTCACGCTTGTAATCCCAGCACTTTGGGAGACCAAGGCGGGTGGATCACCTGAGGTCAGGAGTTGGTGACCAGCCTGACTAACTAATATGGTGAAACCCCATCTCTACTAAAAATACAAAAATTAGCAGGACATGGTGACGCATGCCTGGAATCCCAGCTACTCGGGAGGCTGAGGCAGGAGAATCACTTGAACCCAGGAGGCGGAGGTTGTGGTGAACCGAGATCGTGCCACTGCACTCCAGCCTGGGCAACAAGAGCAGAACTGTCTCAAAAAAAAAAAAAAAAAGAAAAAAAGAAAAATAACACCACCACACACCCATGTTCGTATTGTTTTTCACAGTAGCCAAAAGGTACACACAACCCAAGTGCCCATCAGTGGATGGGGGTAAAAAAATACAATACACCCAAAGCATGGAAGAGTATTCAGCCTTAAAAAAGGAGGAAATTCCAACATGTGCTACAATATGGATGCATCTTGAGGACTTTTGGCTGAGTGAAATGAGCCAGACACAGAGCACGAAACCGTGTGATTGCACCTTACGTGAGGTATGTAGGGTAGTCGTATTCACAGAAACAGAAAGTAGAATGGTGGGTGCCACGGCCTGGGGAGAAGGAAATGGAGAGTTGTTTAATGGAGACAGAGTTTCAATTTTGTAAGATGAAAAGAGTTCTGTGGATAAAATAATGATAACTGTACCTCAGCTATGTGAATGTACTTAATACCACTGAACTGTACCCTTAAAAATGATTGAGGTCAGGCACGGTGGCTCACGCCTGTAATCCCAGCACTTTGGGAGGCAAAGACGGGTGGATCACTTGAGGTTAGGAGTTCTAGACCAGCCTGGCCAACATGGTGAAACCCTTGTCTCTACTAAAAATACAAAAATTAGCCGGGCATGGTGTCGGGCGCCTGTAGTCTCAGCTAGTCGGGAGCCTGAGGCAGGAGAATTGCTTGAACCTGGGGCAGGTGGAGGTTGCAGTGAGCCGAGATCACACCACTGCACTCTAGCCTGGGCAACAAAGTGACACTCCATCTCAAAAAAAAAAAAAAGACTGAGATGACAAATTTTACATTATGTGAATTTTCCCACAGTTAAAAACAAAAAACAACAACAACAAAAACAGCAGCCAGTTCACTGAGTTTCCACCACGTACCATGCACTGGGCAAGGCTCTGATACAGAACATTGTGATCTGTGTTTACAGATGGGGAAACTGAGGCTCGAAGTGACTTACCCAGGGCCACACAGCCTTAGTGGCAGAGCTAGTGCGCTGACTCCTCTGTTGTGTGGCTGAGGTGTGAGAGTCCCTCCCATGGTGCTGCACAAGCTGCCAGGGCTGTGACTCCAACCTCCTTTGCAGGAGGACACTCTTAGAATCCCATCTGAGACCTCAATTTTTAGCATATTCTGTCCTCTTGTTGCAGAAGATGGGGTCCTTTTATTTTACTCTTTTGGGGGATGGAGTCTCACTCTGTTGGCCAGGCTGGAGTACAGTGGTGTGACCTCAGCTCACTGCAACCTCTGCCCCCCCACATTCAAGAGATTATTGTATTTCTACAAACACAAAAATGTGTTTTTGTGGAGGTGGGGTTAACTTGGAGGTGAGGTTCTGCCACATTGGCCAGGCTGGTCTCGAACTCCTAGCCTCAGATGATCTGCCCACCTTGGTCTCCCAAAGTGCTGGGATTACAGGCGTGAGCCACCGAGCCCGGCCAGATGAGGTCCTTTTAAATGCCATCCTGGGAGTTTTCTGACCATTGCATTCTTCTGTGAGTTAAGAGTCGGTTGGCCGGGCGCGGTGGCTCACGCCTGTAATCCCAGCAGTTTGGGAGGCCGAGAGGGGAGGATCACGAGGTCAGGAGATCAAGACCATCCTGGCTAACACGGTGAAACCCCGTCTCTACTAAAAATACAAAAAATTAGCTGGGTGCGGTGGCGGGCGCCTGTAGTCCCAGCTACACGGGAGGCTGAGGCAGGAGAATGGCATGAACCCGGGAGGCGGAGCTTGCAGTGAGCCAAGATTGCGCCACTGCACTCCAGCCTGGGCGACAGAGCAAGACTCCATCTCAAAAAAAAAAAAAAAAAAAAAAAAAAGGAGTCGGCTGCTGAGTCTGAGGTTCAGTCTTTGCCATCAGCTCACTACCACCATCCTCTCCACCATCCTGGTGGCTACTGTTGCCTCCATGCCACTCAGGTACAGGAGTAGCTCAGGCCCGTGCACCCTTCCCACCTGCTTACCTCCTCAACACGTGAGCATCTTAGCATTGTGACGCTACAGTGGGCCAGGGTGATCACCACCTCGCTCCTCAGCAGTGGGCACCCGGTGACCCTCTGGTTGGCAAATGAGCCCTTCTTGAGGGGCTACTTCCTAGGCCCATATCTGATACCAGCTGTCTCAGCCTGGGTCCCCTAGAAGCAGCCCCTGAGAATATGATTTGAGAATGAGTCCTTTATTTGGGAAGTGATCCCAGGAAACACCAATTTGGGAGCAGGTGAGATGGAGAGGGGGAGGAAGCCGTAAGGAAGGGTGCATTCATAATCTGGTCACTTCTGCAGGCAACTATGGCTCAATTCTGCTGGGACCCTCCAGGCAACTGTGAGGATGTGCTTCAGTGTTCTCCAACTGAGGTAAGAGAGCTGGGGTATTGATCCACCACTTCTGCCAGTCATGGGATCAGGGAAGCTCCCTGGGATTGCAGGCTTGTGCAGCCAGGGAGTGCCCTCGAGTTAAGGCACAGGTGCTTACAGCTGGAAGGGTTGGGGGCATGGAGTAGTGGGGCTGAAGGGAAGTGGATGGGTGTTGTCAATATCTGCAATAAAGCAGAAAAACTACTGTTAAACTTCTTTACATTTAGAGCCCTACTCTTCTGAACCCTTCTCAACTCAGTCATTGACATCCATAATTTTTCAATCCATGCTCTTTCTGCCATCATGAATGTTGACAGTACAGCATTTCTCAAGAGTGATTGTTTCAGGCTGGGTTCCCAGGAGGCTGATTCTGAGGCAGAGAACATGCAGGAAGTTGGTTAGAGGCTGCTCTTGGGATCAACGCCTTTGGAAGAGAATGGAATGGAGGCAAGCAGGATTGGGCTGAGGGAGAAGCTGACCTGGGATGCCAGCCCCCACGGGGAGCTCGGAAGAGGAGGTAGCTCTTGCACTTCCATGCCCATCTCTCCTCAGATGCAGGCCACCCTGGGAAGGGAGCGTGTCCTGGGGTGGGCAGCCCGCATCAGCTGAGGCCATCCCTGAAGGGGCCTGCCTGCCAATGGCATCGCAGCAGCTGGCAAATGGGCCTCCCATTCCTAAGGGGAAATGTGACTGGTACAACAGAGCATCTGCCACAGTCCTCCCCTTTACTGCTTGGATCTGCTTCTCCACACCCAGGATGGCCACTCTCTTTCCTGCCTGGGGACCTTCTCTGGCCACAAGGGAGCAGGCACAACCCAGCCATGCTCAGGAGGTGATGCTGCGGGCAGCGGACAGATAACCCATCAACTTCATCTCTGTGGACGACTCCTGGGTGAGTTCCACGTGGTTCCTCAGGCGGTCACTGGCAGGAGAGAGCCCTACTCACCCCCCCGTGGTGAGACCTACTTGTTAGAGCACTTTCTGGAACTTTCTCCTCCCCTGCCTAGTTCCTCACTTCCTGGAATACCTGCTTGCCCCCAAACCCTTGTTTCAGGGTCTGCTTTTGAGGGAACTCCAACCAAGATGGGCCCAGTGGAGATGAAGAGGCTGAAAATAAAGGAGAGTGTGCAGGGAGGAGCAGGGTCCCCGGAGGCCTAGGAGGCTGACGGCATTGGACGTTCAGAGGGAGAGCTGCATTAGGCAGAAGGGGTGATGGTGTTACTTGTGGGGTAAACATGGACACTTCTGGGGGTGGGCTGCAGGAGGACGAGGAATTTGCTTTCTGATTGCATCTGGTTTCTCTGTGAGGAAGGAGGCGAGATTATCACTGAGGGTGAGGGTGGCTGAGGAGATGAACAACTTGAGGAGAGTGGAGAAGGCCTCGATGGAGAAGCAGAGAGCAGCCTAGGAAAATGGAGACGCCCTTCCCAAAGGGTTGGGGGTCAGGGGCCTGGTGGACTGTGAGCTTCTGGAACCATCTGCACCCCCGTAAGACCATCTCCGTCAACACTCAGCATCCCTGTGGAGGGGCTGAATGTACAGTGGGTTGGACTAGACGCCTTTCATGGGGTCTGCCCGATTCACCACTTTTTTGTCTCTACCAACCATGCCCTCAGCCTCCACAGGGGTTATTTCTGGTACAACTCTGCTCCCAAGCCCAGGGGTGGTCATTGGATCCAAGTTTACCTAATCCCTCTCCCAGGGAGAATCTCGTTCTCAATTTCAACTATGCCCCTGTGATGAGCTGGGCCCTGGGGACACAGCAGTGGATAAGAGACAAGACCCCTGTCCTCATGGACCATACAGCCCAAGGTGGGTGAGGGACAATAACCAAATAAACAAAGAATCCAAAGAATTGGGGGTCGAGCATGGTGGCTCACTCCTGTAATCCCAGCCCTTTGGGAGGCTGAAGTGGGTGGATCACTTGAGGTCAGGAGTTCAAGACCAGTCTGGCCAACATGATGAAATCCCATCTCTACTAAAAATACAAAAATTAGCTGGGCATGGTGGTATACACCTGTAATCCCAGCTACTCGGGAGGCTGAGGCAGAATTGCTTGAATCCGGGAGGCGGAGCTTGCAGTGAGCTGAGATCGCGCCACTGCACTCCAGCCTGGGTGACAGAGCGAGACTCTATCTCAAAAACAAAAGCGAAAACAAAAAATAACAAAAGAATTAGGGACTGTGACAAGGAGGATGAGAGAAGTAAGCTGGCTGCCGAGACGGTGAATGGCACCTCCCTTAGATGGAGTAACTGATGTCAGACTCTCCACGCAGATGACATGGAAGCTGAGACCTAACAGGTGAGAAAGACCCAGTCATGCCAAGGACTTGAGTCAAAGTGTCCCAAGCAGAAGGACGAGTAAATGCAGAGGTGAGAAAGAGCTTGGTGTGTTCTCCTGGGGAGTGCCAGGAGACTGCAGGTGCTGGAGTGTGGTGAGCAAGAAATGAAGTTGGGGAAAAGGCAGAAGCTGTAACACATGGGAGCCTCTCAGTTTTTGCTAAAGACCTTGGATTTTATTCCAAGTATAACAAGAAGCCAGGAGTGACACAGTCCTGTTTTTGGGGTAATGTTTTATTTTTATATAATTCCAAACTTACAGAAAAAAAGACTAGTATGAGAAACTCCCATATACACATTATTCAAATTTGCCAACTATTTACACACTCCCTCTTCGCAGTAGTTACAGAGTTGCTGCAAATACTGCATCATTGCTTTTAGGGGAAGACAGGGTCAGGTTCCTGTGAGCCTCTGGCTACAACATTTTCATCAACTGATCAACACATGACCTTTTTTTAAAAAAAAGTGTGCTTTTGTTTAAAGACCTTATTTATTTATTTATTTATTATTATTATTATTATTATTATTATTATTTTAGGCCTAGGGTCCTCAAGGCGGCTAATTTATTGTAATTTCTCCTTTTTTAGTACATGCACAGAAAGCCTGACAGCCAAGTGTACATGAACATGTACACACACACACACACAGAGGCCAATTTCCAGTGAGGGACAGGCTCCACAGAAGAAGCTGATAGGCAGGGGGGATCAAACACTGCTCCCCTGCTCACCGATCTACTTCTCCAAATACAACATCTTAGGTACCTATGATGGCAACGACATCTGCCAACATGTGTCCCTTAGACATCTTGTCCAAACCAGCCAGATGGGCAAAACCAGGAGCCTTGATCTTGCATCGATAAGGGCGGCTGCTGCCATCAGATACTGGGTATACCCCAAACTCTCCCTTGGGAGCCTCAATGGCAGTATATGTGGCTCCTGGAGGAACTTGGTAGCCCTCAGTATACAACTTAAAGTGATGAATCAGTGACTCCATGAAAGTCTTCATCTCTGCTCGCTTAGGTGGAGACACTTTGGCATCATCAACCTTGATCTCCCCAGGAGGCATCTTGTTTAGACACTGTGCGATAATTCTCAGGGACTGGCACATCTCCTCCACCCAGCACAGGTACCTATCATAGCAGTCCCCTCGAGAACCAACAGGAACATCAAAGTCAACCTGGTTGTAAACATCATAGGGCTGGGTCTTCCGGTCCCACTGGATGCCTGAGCCCCGAAGCATCACTCCACTAAAACCATAGTTAAGTGCTGCTTCTGCTGTTACAACCCCAATGTCAATTGTCTGATTTCGCCAGATCCTATTGTTGGTCAGCATCTCCTCCAACTCATCAAGCCAAAGAGAGAAGTTCTTAGAAAACTCATAAATGTCATCCATAAGCCCAAGCAGCATGCATTCAGGCTCCAGACACTTGCTCGTAGAACTCAAACATCTTCTCCCTTTCTTCAAACAGCCAGAAGAAAGGGGTCATGGCCCCAAGATCCAGGGCATGTGTGGTCATAGCCATGATGTGGTTCAACAGCTGTGTGATTTCTCCAAACAGCACTCGGATCCACTGTGCCCGGGGAGGAGGCCGGATGTTTAGCAACTTCTCCACAGCTAGAGAATAGGCCTGTTCATTACACATCATTGACACATAGTCTAGCCGGTCAAAGTGTGGAAGGGCCTGAAGATAGGTCTTGTATTCAATGAGCTTCTCAGTGCCTCGGTGCAGGAGCCCAATGTGAGGATCACACTTCTGCACCATCTCCCCACTCAATTCCATCACTAGTCGCAGGACACCATGCGCTGCTGGGTGTTGGGGCCCAAAGTTCAGGGTCATGTTCTTCACCATTGTGTCCTTTGGAGGGTTCACATCACTCCAAGGTGGAGGCTTCCAGTGGGCTGTTTCTTTGCTTGGGTACATAGCAGCTCCCCCAAACTGCTGTGCCCATTCCACATCTGGCTGCCACTGCCCCACACCTTTTCTGATACAGAGCTGAGGGCTAAAGTGGGCTCAGAGGCAATGACGACCAACATGTCTCAGCAAGAGCGCAGCCATCTTGGGTTCCGTTCTGGACAGAAGTTATTTTTATTATTATTATTATTTTTTGAGACACAGTCACTCTGTCGCCCAGGCTGGAGTGCAGTGGCACCATCTTGATCACTGCAACCCCCATCTCCTGGGTTCAAGTGATTGTCTTGCCTCAGCCTCCTGAGTAGCTGGGATTACAGGTGCGTGCCAAAAAAAAAAAAAGCCACCCAGCTAATTTTTGTATTTTTAGTAGAGACAAGGTTTCATTCACTATGTTGGCCAGGCTGATCTTAAACTCCTGACCTCAGGTGATCCACCTGCCTCAGCCTCCCAGAGTGCTGGGATTACAGGTGTGAGCCCCTGTGCCTGGCCTAAATACACCTTATTTAATACATATTGTTGATCCACTGACATTGACCCCACGTGGCCGTAGGGGTCAATGAGTGCTAAAACTCATGCCTGAATGAAACTTATCTAATGTGGATATTTTCTCCCAAAGGCACATGTAGCCTTCTTGATCGTGGGAACACTAGACAGCCTCAGCACTGCAGGGGGCCATTTTAAATGGTGAAATCACCAACAAGAAGCACAAAACTGTGAAAAACGTGACACTAAATAGACTGTGAAAAGGACACTTGTTTACGGGTCGGAGGGCTGAAACAGGGAGATGAGTGCTGACTGCTTCACCTCAGCAGGTGACTTTAGTCTCTGGAGACACCAATTTTTCACCACTCTGTGTATGCACTGGCTTTCAAATGCCCACAGAAGGGCCCAAGTATTGATTTTGTTACAAATAAATTTAGCTAGAGGTGAACCCACAAATACAGAATCCAATAATAATGAAGATGATTTGAATCATGTGAGGTTATGTTAGAAACACCCCACCTCTGCACCCCTGAGTACTTCAGTGTATATTTCCAAAATGGTCATTCTCTTACATAGTCACTTTGGTAGTTATCAGAATCTCGAAACTCACCAGCAATACAATACTATAATTTGATACATGCTTTTCCCCCAGTCCAGCAGCCAATCCAAGATCACAGGATGCATTTAGTTGTCATCTTTTAGTGCCTTTGTTTTTTGTGGTCTTGACTTGCAGAATGTCCTTCTGTGTGGGTTATCCGATGTTTCCTTGCGAGTAGATTCAAGTTGTGCATTTGTGGCAAGAATATCCAGGGGTATTGTCTTCTCAGTGCATAAGGAGAGATGTACTGCTGTTATTTTGCTATTTGTCCTCTATATGCTTCATAGCTTTTCTAGACCTCATGTCCTGCATTACAAGCTTTTTTGTATGTGTTTGGTTATTTTTTTTAATAGCAAAATGTTTCAATTTCTTCTCATTTTCTTCCATGTATATTCTACAGCTATTTTCTTTATGATTACAATGGGCATTACATTTAACATCTGTATTAGTTCGTTCTCACGCTGCTAACAAAGACATACCCAAAACTGGGTAATTTATAAAGGAAAGAGGCTTAATTGACTCACACTTCACTATGGCTGGGAGGCCTCAGGATACTTACAGCCATGGGTGGAAGGGGAAGCAAACATGTCCTTCTTCACATGTCAGCAGCAAGGAGAAGTGCTGAGCAAAAGGGGGAAAGGCCCCTTATAAAACTGTCAGATCTCGTGAGAACTCACTCATTATCATGAGAACAGCAAGTTGGAGGTAACCATCCCCATGGGTGGTTACTTTCTGCCAGGTCCCTCCCATGACAAATGGGGATTGTAGGAACTACAATTCAAGATGATATTTGGGAGGGGACACAGCCAAACTGTATCAACATCCTAAAGTTATAACACTTTGGTTTGAATTTATACCAGGTCAACTTCAGTATCATATAAAAACTCTGCTCTTTTACAGCGCCATCTCTTTTTCTTGTGGTTGTTGATGTCATAAAATTGTATCTTTACACATTCTACGCCTCAAAGCTTAAACTGACAATAATTTTTAAAAAGTTAGTGTCTTAAATTATATAGCAAACAAAATGTGTAGTTACAAACCAGTTACAGTAATACTAGCTTTAGATTAGTTCTTGGTTTAACTAATCAATTAATTCATTATTATACTTTTTATTTTATTTATTAATTTATTTATTTTGAGACAGAGTCTGTCTCACTCTTGTTGCCCAAGCTGGAGAGCAGTGGCCCGATCTTGGCTCATAGAAACCTCTGCCTCCCAGGTTCAAGCGATTCTCCTGCCTTAGCCTCCCGAGTACCTGGGATTACAGGCACCCACCACCATACCTGGCTAATTTTTGTATTTTTAGTAGAGACGGGTTTCACCATGTTGGCCAGGCTGGTCTTGAACTCCTGACCTCAGGTGATCCACCCGCCTTGGCCTCTCAAAATGCTGGAATTATAGGCGTGAGCCACCACGCCTGGCCTCAAAAGTTTAATTATAATGTGTCTTGGTGTGACTCCCTCTTAAATATTTAATTTGATTTTTTAATTTTTTTTGAGATGGAGTTTTGTTCTGTCACCCAGGCTGGAGTGCAGTGGCACTATCTTGGCTCACTGCAACCTCCACCTACTGGTGATTCTTCTGCCTCAGCCTCCTGAGTAGCTGGGACTGCAGGCACGTGTCTCCACACCTGGCTAATTTTCGTATTTTTAGTAAAGATGGGGTTTCACCACGTTGTCCAAGGTGGGCCTGAACTCCTGACCTCAGATGATGTACCCACCTCAGCCTCCCAAAGTGCTGGGATTACAGGTGTCAGCCGCTGCATCAGGCCAATTGAATTTAATTTTTGAGACAGGGTCTTACTCTGCCACCTAGGCTGGGGTGCACTGGCACAATCATAGCTCACTGTAGCTTCAACCTCCTGGGCTCAAGCAGTCCTCTCACCTCAGCTTCCCAAGTAGCTGGGACTATACGTGTGTGCCATCTACATCTGGCTATTTTTTGTAGAAACAAGGTCTCACTATGTTGCCCAAGCTGGTCTCAAACTCTTCAGCTCAGGTGATTCTTCTTTTGCCTCAGCCTCCCAAAAGCATGAGCCACTACACCCACCTGATTCTTTGGAAACAGACTCGCACTTTACCATCCAGGCTATAGTGCAGTGGCGTTGAGAGGTGGCAACGTGCTAGCAGCCCTCGCTCTCGGCGCCTCCGCGGCCTGGGCGTCCACTCTGGCAGCGCTTGAGGAGTCCTTCAGCCCACCACGACACCGTGGGAGCCCCTCCCTGGGCTGGCCGAGGCCGGAACCGCCTCCCTTTGCTTGCGGGGAGGTGTGGAGGGAGAAGCGCTGGCGGGAATCCGGGCTGCGCTCGGCGCTCCCGGGCCAGCGCGAGTTCCAGCGAGCGCGAGCCCCGCACACGGAGCGGCCGGCCGGGGTCGCCGGCCCAGGGAGTAAGGGGCTTAGCACCCGGGCCAGCAACTGCAGAGGATGCCGGCGGGCCGGCACTGTGCTCGAGTTCTCGCCGGGCCTCAGCTGCCTCCCCGCGGGGCAAGGCTCGGGACCTGCAGCCCGCCATGACCGAGCCCGCCCCCGCCACGGTGGGCTCCCCAGCCACCCGAGCCTCCCCGACGGGCGCCGCCCGCTGCTCCACGGGAACAAGCGCTGAAGAGCGCTGGCGCGACTCGGGACCGGCACACAGCTCCGCTTATAATCCTTCTATAAAATCCACTAGGTGAAGAGAGCTGGGCTTTTAAGTCTGATGGGGAGTTGGGGAACTTTTGTGTCTAGCTAAGGGATTGTAAACGCACCAATCCGCACTCTGTGTCTAGCTCAGGGTTTGTAAATGCACCAATCAGCACGCTGTCAAAATGGACCAGTCAGCTCTCTGTAAAATGGGCCAATCAGCTCTCTGTAAAATGGACCAATCAGCACTCTGTAAAATGGACCAATCAGCAGGATGTGGGTGTGGCCAGATAAGGGAATAAAAGCAGGCTGCCCACGCCAGGCGGCAGTGAGTTGCTTGGGTCTCCTTGGGTGGTGGGGAGGGGTTTGTTGGTTTTTTTTGGTTTTGTTTTTGCTTTGTAGTGAGTTTTTGTTGCTGTTGATTGTAGCTGCTGCTATGTTTTTGGGTTAAGACTGCGTGTATGAGTCGTGACGCCGCAAAAGTGTGCGGCTTCATTTTTGAAGTCGGCGACAACACGACCCCCTGCTGGGAAAAATGAATAATTCCAGAGGCGCTGCTTTTAAGAGCTGTAACACCAGGGAGGTCTGTAGCTTTACTCTGGTCAGCGAGACCAAGAAGCTCCAGACCCGTCTGAAGGAAGAAACTCCGGACTACCATCTTTAAGAACTGTATCACTCGTTGGAAGGGTCTGTGGCTCCCGTTTTGAAGTCAGCGAGACTAAGAACCCACCAATTCTGGACACAGCAGGATCATAGCTTGCTGTAGCATTGAACTCCTGGGCTCAAGTGATCGTCCTACCTCAGCCTCCCAAGTAACTAACTAGGATTACAGGTATGCACCACAATGCACACTTAATTTTTTATTTTTTGTTTTCTTAGAGATGGGGTTTTGTCATATTGCCTAGGCTTGTCTCACACTCCTGGGTTCAAGCTGTCCTGCTTTGGCTTGCTAAAGCGCTGGGATTACAGGCATGAGATACTGCATTTGGGTATTTTTGAATTCATCTTACATGAAGTTCGTTCAGCCTGCATGTTTCTTTTCATTTCTGTCATCAAATTTGAGAGGTTTATGGACACTAGTTCTTAAAATATTTTCCCTGCTTACGCTTCTTTCTGTTCTCTGTGATTCCCACAATGCCTGTGTTGATCTACTTGATGGTATTTCAAGATCTCTTAAGCTCTGTTCATTTTTCTTCAGTGTCTTTTCTGTTCTTTAGATTTGATCATTTCTATTCTGTGTTCAAGTTCATTGATTCTTCTGCCTGTTTAAATCTGCGTTTGAATTTGCCCTCTAGTTATTTTTTATTTCAGTAGTTTTTCAGTTCTGGAAATTATTTTGGTTTCTTTTAGGTTTTATTTTTGCTCTTATTTCCATTTTGTTCATATATGTT